CCTCCGTTTCCCCTACGTGTTTTGTTCCTTCCTTAACCTCAACTGTGAAGGGGGAAAGAATTCTCCTGGAAAACATATTTGTTCATGGTTTAATGGGCAAAAGTAGCAAGAACAGCAGAGGAGGAAAGGCAAAGGGCTCAAAATCTTTGAATGAGTAGAGGCAAAGGGAATGCAAGAAGATGAGTCACTGCACTTGGGCAACAAGGAGAGCAAGCAGCTGAGCACCTGGTGACAGTGGGGTGACAGCGTCAGCAATCCTGTGGGTAGGGCCGAAGGGAGGCTGAGAGTTGGAAACAAGGGGCAGGCTCCCGCGTGATCAGCCTGCAATCCAGCTCTAATTCCACTCGCTTGTTGTCCCAGAGCCAGGTGCTTATGCTGCTGCCCACATTCTCACCTGTGGTGCGCTCAGGAATGCAACAGAAACCAAAACAGTATGCAGCAGTAGTGCAGCAAGTTGTTTCAAACCCATCAAACCTCGAAGAAAATGGAAAGGAGACTGCAAAAGAACCGCGGGGTGCAGATGTTAGAGAGCAAGTTGAGTGGAGAAGTGCGGCTGTGCCGTGTCTTGGTCCGAGCCCCCTGAATCTACAGGAGCTCAGTGCGTTGCTGGAGCCACAGCTGGTTAGACTGGTTGGATGGGAATTTTACAGGCTGACACCCTGTTACTCAGGTTCCTTTGGGCTCATTAACATATATTAGCTGGAATGCAACATCAGCTCTCTGAATGTCTGGACCCTTTGTGGTTTCAGGATGTGTGGCAGCCGCTTCCATGGTCTCCAGGCAATGGTGTTAGCATGCACCAGTCAACTGTTTGGTACACAAATATTACCACGTACCCTACAGAAAAGGTCAGCATCTTCATCTCCAAGGCCTTGGAGGTTTCTGTTGCTCTAACTCGCCTTTGCCTTCTCCTCATGAATTTAGCAGTGAAGAGCTGCCAGCAACCAAGAGAACCTCTATGGTTTGGCTCCACGCTTTCCACAACACAGGAAAGCACATAACACGCAAAGGATCTGCCCGAGTGCTCAAGGATAAGATGCGTTATCTGATTAACCACTGCCCTCCTTCCCTGCACTCCAATGACCCACAGCAAGCAGATCTGCACTGCCTGTCTAACAGGGAGCTACCTATCCGCTCTGCATCTCAGGGTAGGTACTAAAGAGGGAGTCGTCTGGAGACAGTAGCAAAACCAAAGTCCCTCCGTTAAAAGAGTTATATAACCCCTGTATTTAAAAGAGTTACATAAGCCCTGTACAAAACACTGTTACATAGAAAGTCAGCCAGGGGCTGCTGCTGTCTCTGCTGACCAACAGAAAGCTGCTTTTGCTGGAGAGAAGCTGAGCAGCTCTGCTTCATTTCTGCTGTGTGAGAAGCAAATGGGTGGAAACTGGTCACCAGTTGTTAGGCAGAAGCTATCTGACTCCATGCACATGCCCAAAGGAATTATACAGCTTTGTACTTCCAACAGAGAAGCCTATTGCTGGCAGTCTTGGCTGTTGTTTGCAGCTTTGGGTGTTTAAATTGCTGCCTATTTATCCAGGGACTGTGGGAGACAAGCGTTGTCAGTAGCTCCTCCGCAGCACAAACAGCAATGTCAAATGATGTCAACCACAGCGCTGTATCTCTCTGACAGTATTAATCATGAACAGTATCCTAACATGCTGCACTGGATCAATTTATAGCCTTCTGGTATGTGCCGATGATTATGAGGAGGATAACCCCAAACCATTAAAAAACAAACAAACAAACAAACAAAAAACAGAAACACACAAGTTATGTAACTGTCTCAGATAGATCATGCTCAATGTTGGTTCTCAAAACCGTAACACAGGCTATTAATACCTGTGTGGTCTCCTGACAAAACCAAGAGCTGCCTCCTTGCGCTGCCTTGGGACCACGTGCGGGAGCTGCGCGCTCCAGCCCATCACTAGAGATAAGCTTGAAGCCGAAATTTCAGGTCAGGAGCTTGTTATTACATAACCTAACGCACTGGGAGACGAGTCCTCCTCCCCCTCCAATCCTCAGGGACAGATCTTGAGAAAAGAAAACTGCTGAAAAGAAAAGACCGCTGAAATATAGGAATGTGGAAGTCAGGGCAGAGGCTGTTTTCCCCTCTAAATGAATGCAGCATGAGCTCCGATACTGTATTTCTAGGTTTAATGTAAGCCGGAAGACAATGACTTGTCAAGACATCCTGAATAGGGCATAAATATCTGTATTTCAGTCGTTTAAATCCACTGACAGCACTGATATGTTCCTTTGTGTTTGGTTAACATGGCACGTAATCTGTTTACATTTGCTAGTCTGGCATAAAAACCTCATAGTCCAAGGTATTTGTGGTCGAGAAGTATTTGCTTAGTACTCGCCTGCTTGAACTTTCTAAAGGAGGCCAATTGTGCACAAGACAAAAAAGAACAAAGAATCCCACAAACCAGCAAAACAAACTGGCCTCAGCATTTCCAAATTAAGGACCAAAGTCTGAGGCACATCATCTAATGACTGCTATGAAAGATCTGGCTGCTGAGACGTTTTCCACAGGCGGTTGTCACCTCCTGTCTGGTCCAAGAGGCTAAGCTTTGCGCAACTGCATTGTTATTCTCAACTTGTCCTCCCTATTATAAGCCCTGTGATGCTATTTCTTTCTCCCCAAAATACAGTTCATATGTGGTGGGTGTTTGGCAAGCTGCTGCTGTTTTCATATAAGATGTGAAATTAATTCTTGACCTTGCTTGTTGCGGCTGCCTGAACATGCCGTGAATTTGCAACACACCCTTCCTGTGTAATTTCACATGCGCTGCATGTTACACTATCCGTGCAGATCTTTTATTTTCATAAAAACATCTGCTTTGAGTATGATAATTCACCAGCTTCTAACTCCTCACTCTGTTTGCTGTGCTGCTGTATGTTTCTTTTTTTTTTTTTAATCCCAATTTCAATAAAGGGCATCAAAATTAACCTGGACCATTTCCAGGAAAGTGAGAGCTGCTGGAAAGCCAAACTCCAATGATTCGATACAGCTGTAACGTGGCTCAGGCAACAGGGGCTGGGAAGTCTGTGGATCTCCTCCTTGGATTGGGCTTCCCACAGAGTGGCTTTGACATAGCTTTAGAGCAGTACAAACACCTGAAGGGATTCAGGAGAACTGCTCCCAAGGAGCTATTCTATTTCGCAAAACTATCCTGGGAGGAAACCCTTGCCAAGCAAATGCACCGAACCCCAAGCCACTTCCCACTCGTTTCACTGGAGGTGGAGACAATTTGTGAACATGCCTTGTCTGAACCAGGATTAAAAACGTACATTCCTGAATCTAACAACTGGCTGTCATGATCTGCAAAGGAGAATCACTCTAGCAAGACCTCCAAGGGACTACGTGTGCACCTATACCTTATTTTGTCCCCTTGGTTTCACGTTATTCAGTTCCTTTTTACTTAAGAAAGCATCTCTGAAGGCTGTACTCCCTGGGAAGAGGCTTTCGTAGCACACTATAAGCAGTCAGCACTGCATCCACTGCAACATAAACACACTTCCCTGCACGCCAGGTAGCAGGGAAGGCCTTTACATCCCATGTCTTTATATCCCTGTTCATTCTGTGGGTATTTTAGCAGCTTCTTATACTAAGGCAAAAGAACATGGGTGGTTTCAGCACCATTTTTTCGTATTCCCAGGTCTGAACAGCACTCTCACATGGAGTATTTGCCATTTACTTTCCACTGTGTGGAGCCCAGCTTAGACTTGTCTGGGTTTTCTTTCACTCGATTTCCCCCCCTCCTTTCTAAGCTGCTTTCAATAACTTATACATCAATTCATTTAATAAAATTTCAGTGCATCTATTTATTAGCCATCCTATTACCTTTCAGTTCACAGAAGTTCATCTAAGGTATGAGCAGACATACCCTCACTGATTTGAAGCAGTTTATGAAATATTGCCCCATTTTGCCAGCAATACCATCTTACAGACTTATCTCAAGGGACAGGCAGGGCATTCCAGCACACTCGGTGTATATTTTATAAATAGACAGCAGTCAGCAAGATGTAATTAAGCCAAATATTACAGTCATGATCTGGAAAGGTTTCTCTGCAAAGCCCTGGTCTGGTCTGCTGCCACTTTATTGTGGTGGTGTTCAGATTTCGGTACAGTTTGTGCTTCACAAAGGTGCTCCCACACAGTCACTTCCGTGAAGTTTCTGGGAGTTATCTTCAAGCAGCATAGCCATAAAACTGCACCAGCAGTTATTACCTTGTGGTACCTTTGTGTGCCCGTGGTGTCCTTGCCATCTTTCCCAAGATCCCGGGAACCGGAATCGGATTAGAGGAGCCCATGAGCTGCTTACTGGGGGACAGAGGCTAAGAAAAGTGTCTTGCACCTCACCCAAAAAGTGCCTTGAACATACGAGCTACACAGAGAGCCGCGACCTCTTCTGCGTGGTTGAAAGCCCCTCAGCAAGTCTTGGTTAGTGACTTTTGGGCTATATGCCCTGGCATTCATACTCCTGTTCTCCACAGGTCACCAGCAGGCCCAGAGGCAGCTGGCAAGTTGCCATTTGCTTCTTACCTGGACGTGGATTATTCCTGGGGAAGCAGCTCACCCCGAACAGGCAGCTTCTCCAGGACATGTGCTCTGCGTGCAAAGAAGATGGGGTCACTCAGCTTATCACCTGCCCCCCAAAACTACTGCTGAGATCACGGTGAAGAAGGAAGCTGCTAAGTCAAGAGGAGCAAGTACCATGTGTGCAGCTTGTCCAAATCAGGCAACGGATCCATTTAACGTTGGCAGCTCTCGCTGGGGTTCTGACCAAACCAGCTGGTGCTCAGGCAGGTACTGCTGGAAGACTGAAGACATAAATGGGGTGGGAGAACAAGCCCGGCAAATCGCTTTGCGCTGCTTCTCCTGTTGAGCCAGACAGCTGCCTGCTTCAAGGCAGCCTGCAGGACATCACAGGAGAGAGGCAGCCAGACCCACATCCTCAGGCTAACTCCCCAGCTTCCACCGGGCTACAAACCAAAGGCAGCACTTGAGGAACTCCACCTTCCTGCCCCGTGCAGGAGGACTCACTTTTAGCCACAGACACCAAAGGTGCTTCCTGGGTGCCATCCTTCATAGCACGACAACAGCTAACCACAGCTGTTAGCGGAAAACATCATTTCCAAACCAGGAAAGCATAAATAACACGCCTGGAGATAGAAGAGACAAAACACTAGGGCATCATCTGCCAGCCACGGCATTCCCTGCTGCCCCCTCCTGGTTTTCCCTGCTGCCTACCCTAGAAAGCTCAGTCAGCTTCCAATCTTTTTCCCTGCATTGGTTCTTTCCTGTTACTACAATCAATCTCCTCCTCCTCAGGGAAAACAATGTCGTTTGGAGCCAGGATGGAGGGAAAAGCCAGAGGCAGGACCCTGGACATTCCTCATGCACGGAAAAGGCGAGGTCAACAGAGTGCAGGAGCGGCTCCTTCTGCTACAGCAGCGCTCCCAAGGCTTCTCTTCCTGCTCGCAGGGCTGTGCCTCGTGGCTGAGCTGGCACTGCTGCCCAGGCAGGGGATGGCGGGGTGCGTGCGCTGCGTTCCACGGGAGCCTCGCCTCCCGCACGAGGGCAAAGACACTCGAGTGCTTCTGCCTTCTCTGGCGCTTCTCCACACTTCCCCGCGCTTTGGCTTGGCGTGGCAGGATTGTACCCCGCCCGCACAGCAGGCACGGAAGGGGTTCAGCACGCCCAGCTCCTGCCTTCGGGCCGCCTTTCCCCGGGAGGCCTTAGGGAAAGCAAGGGCACCACGCAGCAGCAGCAGTTGCCTTCATCCCCCCACGCCCTCCCCAAGACTCGTTTCTTCCCTTCCCTTATGTCACAGCAGCCCCTGCTGGCACGGGGCAGGCCTGGCAAGAGGCACGAGTTGCTCTGCATTATGCTGATAAACTTCCTCGTTCTCTTACATCCCTGAAGAGCAGACGCGCAGCCTCATGCGGCGCGGGGCTCGGCGGCGCCCTGCCGTGGGGGCGGG